GGGGAGCCCGCCGGGACCTCGCTCCCCGCAGGCGAGGCGCTTGCGGAGCTGTGGCCTAGGAGAAAAATAATGCTCCTTTGACGGGGGAAGGCGGGCCTTTGCTCCCACCAGCAACTCCTTCTTTTTTTTTTTTTTTTTCCTTCGTTTTCTCTCCTTCTGCCAGTGTAAGCTTGCTGTTTTGGCTGGAGAAGTGGGAATGGTTTGGTTTTCAAATCTGACGGTTTTCAGGTTTTCTGTTTTGTTTTGTTGTGATTGCTAGCGCCGTTCTGTTGGAAATCTGGGTTTTTGTGAGCTGAAGCCTGCTGACTATAAGCTTATTTTCCTTAGTTGCTTTTTAAGAATAATTAAGGACCCTTTAAATGCAGCCCATAGATTTTCATAAGCTATTTTATGCTAATGGCTTTTTTAAGATAGTGAATTTCATTAAAAATTAACTGTTCGCCCTCTTAGTGTGGTAGTTATTTCAGTTGTGGTAAAGCAGTTGGAAAAATGCTCCTGTCAGCATCAAGTACTTGAAGTCAGATTTGCTAATGTAGATCTGAACAGCTCAGCTATTTAGAGTCATAGCTGAGCTTACGGGCAGCTGAATTCGTCAGATCCTTCTTTGTTTCTGTTTTTGTGATAAATATATGGAGATTCTTTTAATCTTGTTAAATGTGTTTTGGTTCATGCTCATGTTTTCTGAGGTTAGGACTGTTTGCTAAAGTCTAATCTCCTGAAGCTTTACACTTTTTTACATAAAACAGCAATGTATTCACGTTTTTGTTTTAAGTGGATATGTGCCTCGAAACAGATAAAAATGACATTCCTTTCTTCATCTTTATCCTATACTTAGTGGATAAAATAATCTTCACTGAATGCTTTTAACTAATGATATTGTAGTTCTTGTAGTTAAATGAGAGGAAGCTTGAATCTTATGTTTTAGTCATTCTCCCGTAAAGAGGACTCGACATCCAGTTAAGCTATAGCTAGGCTCTATTTTTACAGTAGCTCCTATTTTTCAGATATGTTTGTGAAGACTTCTCTTGCAAGATGCTAGGTCTTAAAAATTAAGATCTATGCTCTTACATTGAGGAGGATGTTAACTGGTCATTGTCTCTAAACTAGAGTTAGAACTGAGCTGCCAATCTAGAAGCCAGATTATCTACTGTACTCCTCTTCTGAACTGTTCAGTTTCTTTTACTGTAGCTGTTTTAAAATAAACAGTTATGTCAGTAACTTTTTTTTTTCCTGCAGCAGTTCTCTTCGTTCTTTTCAATGTTTTTCTGGGACACTTTGATTTTTCAGAATGTATTCATAAAGGCAAAAAAATAAAGATGGAAAAGTCACAAGACAGAAATAACAGAAAAGACTTTGCAGGCTAGGGAATATAAATCCAACATTAGCTGTTTGCATGCGGACCTTGGAACTTGGCCTGAGAGCTCAGAAAACAAACAGTTCCTCTGCCTCAAATCTGAAGAGACACTGCCACTACCCGGTTGCAGTGTTTCTAATCGGTTTCCTTTTGTAATGTAATTTCTTTTAGTGTTTTTCCTTGCTTTTTATTACTTAGAGAACATAGTTATTATCTATAGGAGTTTCATTTCTAGTAAACGTGTGTCACAAAAAAGGCTGAGCAACATCTATAGAAAGGTGAAGGATTAAATACGCCATAGCTGCAGAACCCCTTCGTGTCCTAGACTTGGTTTTTGCAGATCAAAGGGGCTGCACTGGATGAAATGGAAAGTTAGTAATTTTATGCTGCCTTCTCTGGGAAAACGAGACCTGCCTTCTGCAGGTCTACGAATCTGCTATTTTTACTTCAGATTGGTCAGCGTGATGTTCTTTTGTATGCAGTGGTACAGAAATAACACTTTTATGCAGAATGCTTTATTATTTATCATTAGGAAAGTTGTGAGATGGAATTTTTTTAATCCTCGTATTTAGATGCATTTCCTAAAGTTTTCTTTTCTTCAGATTTCATGTTCTTTTTAACCTTGCAGTGAGTAAAGTAGGTAGAGGAGGGGAGGAAATGCTAGAAGTGCATGAAGCCTTCTGGTGAATGCGGTCAGTGTAGATATCAAGTGGCAGATATGTATACATAAGAGTAAAAACTGATTTAAAAAAAAAAAAGTGAAACGGGTTGGTTTGGGATTTTCTGCAAGGATCACGTGTACTCTGTATAGTACTCTGTTTAGCTGGGTCTGTGGCTATGTGGCTGTGGCTTTCACGTTTAGAGGTTGCCAGTGCCAGTACATATTCTCTATGAGCTCGGGAAGGTAGTGATTCGAGCACGGTAATATCTTCTGCACTTCATCTCTAATGTATTCTGCTAGGGTTGTTTTCAGCCTCTTTTTGTAGGCTTCTAAAGATGGAGGCATGGACCACTGTGTAGCGAATTTCAACTTGCTTTTTCCTTAAACTTCTTTTCGGGCACCAGCCAAAGTAAGTAATGGACTGTCCAGGGTTTTCTCCCCTGGTTGAAAGCTGTTAAATTATACTACTTGGATATTTTTGATTTCCCCACGTGTGGGGCTTTTGTACAGGACTGACAAAGAGGGAAAGATTTAGGAATACTTTTATATTGGAAAAGGCATTTCTGATCAGTGGTTCTGCAATGCACGTCACGTTTTTAAATGGGGAAAATAACAAAAAGTTTTGTACAACATATTGATGATACTGCTTTCAAATTATTGTGGTCCAAATAATGCTTTCCTGTTTGGAGATATGGACTGCTTTTACCTTGCTGGTGCCATCACAAAGTCTCTCTTCATCTAAGTTTTCTCTCTCTGTGCAGATTGGCTGATGAATTACACATGCCTTCCCTGCCAGAAATGATGTTTGGAGACAATATCCTAAGAATACAACATGACCATGGTTTTGGAATTGAGTTCAATGCAACAGATGCTTTAAAATGTGTCAATAATTGCCAAGGTATGATCAAAGTGGCTTGTGCAGAGGAGTGGCAAGAGAGCAGGTACAGTATTTTATCACCAGTGGGCAAGTACTAGTGTTTTATAGGGGAAACTGGGATAAAGCGGTTAAAGGTACAGACAGAACTGGAACTCTTGAATACCATGTTGCATTTGTTTCTGCCATAGGTATACTGTGTGACTGCAAAAATCACCTAGCTTTTCTTTGCCATAGTCATCCTATCTGCTAAATTCTGTTAACTGTATTTTCAGTTGTGTTGTGACTTTCTTAAAATAAATGGCAAATTTAATATGACTTCAATCTGTTTCCGTTTGTTCAAAATCATAGCGCCCTGAGCATTGCAAGATTGTGTCTTTCGGCATTTCAAAGTGCAGAATGCTGTACATATTCAAGAACAATTGCTATGCATAAAAACTAATTGTACTGCTTAGGATTTACCAGATTAGTGGCAGAGCACCAATGAATAAATCATGGAGAGAAATCAAAGTTGTCCTTAAAATTAAGGTGAAGTGCGGTGTTAGTGATAGCTGTGTGTTTTCTGCAGATTGCTTTCTGTCTTTTTGAAGAAAAAAATGATCTTGAGCTATAAAATTTTCAACCACATCGAATTAAGATCTTTATTTTGACTGTTAGGACTAAGGTAGTGCTAGCACGGGAATTCTGGTAACGGTTTTCTAATTTACTGTGCAAACACAGATATCGTGAAAGAAGCAGTACTGTATAGTTCAGACGACATCATGATTCTGGCATGGGCAATATTGCTGTTTAACTGTTTGAAGAGTAAGGGCATGAGTCTTACGTGAGGTTGTAATTTCTTTAAAGAATTACTACAAAGTGTGCTGAATTCTTTTTCCTTTGAGGAGTGAGACTGAGCACACTAAGGAAGTTGTCAAACCATATGACTGGACTTACACAACAGACTACAAAGGAACCTTACTGGGAGATGCTGTAACATTAAAGGTGACTTCTTTTCTCCTTGTTAAATGCTTATTACATAGTATTTCAGTCAAACACCTTTTTTGGAAGCTGTGGTTTACCTTTCAATAAGCTTATATAAAATCTTGTATGGTTCATAGGACTTAGGAGTTTCTGCCTTCAAAGTATAGTTTGGACTTTTCATGTCTCTCAGCATGTTTGTGTTTTTTTTTTTTATTGGCTCATTTTAATATACATATTTTAAAGCATCTTAGGATTATATAAAAGAGTCTCCTATGTCCCTGATTGAGAACTTGCTCAAAGTAGTAAAGCACTTTAGAATACTCAGTGCTTGCTGGATCCCCCTTTGAAGCCCTGAGCTCCTCAGATACGACAGAACTACCAAGCGCATAGTTCTCCGGTACCTTTACTCTGTGTTGCTTGCAGTTTTTTGTGATCCGGTACCCAGCTCTGGCTGCTTTCAGTGACTTTGTTCCTCTGAAACAGTAATGCCTTGTATTTAAACTGTGACAGATCCTCCCTTGTCTTTACTTACTTAAAGAAAAACTGATGTTCCCAGCTTCTCTGCACTGTGTACAGATGGTTTGCTGCTAAGCAGATAATGTACGTGAATTCGCTAGGATTGGTTTAGTTATAGATCACTTGAGTTACTCTGGAATTAAAAGCACAGCATAAAACTAAACTGTCTTGTGGGCTTATGGTCTTTAGGCAGCAGAAGTGTATTAATGTATACAGAGAGCGCAAGATGGAAAACATTACTAGTATTTGATTTTGAGGAAAGGCTTTATTGCAAAGCTATGCAGCGTTTGTAGTTTCCTAGAAATGCCATGTGTGTGGAATACCACTTATAACCCAGAACTTCCCAATCGTATATTAAGCTCAGGGTGTCTTCCAATGTTTTGAAATACAGAATGTGAGCAGGATTGTTGCAACGGAAATCTTACTAAGCCTGTTCCCTGGAGGTGATTTATTCAGAATTTTCCACTTTGGATTTTTTCTTTGATTGATGTTTCCTCTTGGAAACTTTGATGTTAATTTTAACGTTTCCTCTTAGACTTTTGTATGTCTTCAGCTGAGTGCTCTAAAGTTTTTTTTTTTTTTCCTTTAGAAAATTAGCAAGTGCAGGATTTTCAAGATAAAGACAAACTTTACATATCTTGACATCAAACTAATATACTAACTATTCTTAATCTTGTTCTTCAGGTTGTGCCTACAACAGAACACATAAATACAGAAAAATTGAAAGCCAGGGAGCAAATTATGTTTTTTGAAGAAGTCCTTCTGTTTGAAGATGAACTTCATGATCATGGAGTATCAAGTTTGAGTGTAAAAATAGTGAGTACTGAGAGGTGTATGTAAGAGGCTCGTTGACCCAGCTGGCTAATGTATGCAGAATGTAGTCCCTTTTTGCCCATTATTTCTTCTGGGATTTAAAGTTTATAATGCAGAGTTCTTTATTACTCTTACAATTATAATCTTATTTAAAGCTGTGATATATTCATCTTGTGGTATCGGTTACTTCGGTTGTATCAGCACCATTTTTTCCCCTCTTTCTGCATCCTATCTAGGAATCTTTTGAGACTGTCCTGATGTTCTGTGAGCTGTAGTATATCATCAGCCCAAATTTTTACTTTACTTCTGAAAGGTCACTCATACTCTTTTTTGTCTACAATAAAGCTTCTGCTGTTCGTGATACAGTGGTCTTGAAGCCTGACCTATTAGCACTAGTATGTGTGAATATCTGATCTGACAGGTGCATACCTAAGGTTCGACTTTGTGATATCCTGAAAGGAATATCTTTATTTTTGCAGAGAGTTATGCCTTCCAGCTTTTTTGTCTTGTTGAGGTTTTTCTTGCGAGTTGATGGTGTACTTATCAGGATGAATGATACAAGGCTTCACCATGAGGTAAATGCTTATTGTTTATATCATTCATGTTTTACAGATATAACCTTGCTGTATCACTTTCAGAGAAGACTTGCTGATATTCCTGTAATCTAACACTGATGTTTTGGGGTGTAGAAGTTACCTGAACTGAACTTTCACGTGTATTTTATTATTATGGTGGTGCTGCAGTAGTGACAGAGTGCTGGATGCCATTGGTCTAGTCTGCTCTACAAGCAGAGTAGCTTATCCCTCCTCCGAAGTAATTACTTAATTATATTGGACAGACACAGATTAGAGAGGAAGTCAAAGAAGAAAAACAGACAACAGTAAATGGTGTGATACTCTTCTTATGTTAATAGCCGCTGGCTTCCAGGGTGTGTGTGTTTTGTTCTTTTTGCTTGTCTACTACATAACTACACGTTCCACTCTGCAAATAACTTGTCTATACTACACTGAGTCCAGGCATCTTTTAAACAATATAGTACATATAGTTGTGGTTTGCTTGTTCTGTTTAGCTCCAGTAATACTGACTACAGGAGTTTTAGTTGAGTAAAAATTAACAAGCGTATTTAATCATAGGTTTTTTTGTGCACAGAAAAGTGACTTTTGGGAAAGAGCAAGATTGCTAAATTTCCCCCCCCCCCCATCTTTGAATGTGTATTTCTTCTTCCAGGTGAAAATCTTTGGTCAAACAAATTCAAATGGTTACTAAATTGAGTATATTTACAAAACTAATCTTGCACTGCTATTAAATGATAATTTTATAATTAACTTCTGCAATTTTTCCCATTAGGCTGACAAGGCCTACATGTTACGAGAATATACGTCCAGAGAAAGCAAAATATCAAGTTTAAAGGTATTTTTTAATGTTTTCTATGTGTGTATGTGTATTTTTTTTTTAATTCTTTTATGGTCAGCATAGAAAATACTATACCTATAAGTCTTTCTTTATTAGGTTTGGAATCTCTAGAGAGGGAAACCTCTTCTGCTTATACAGTACTTATTTCAGGGCAGATTTTCATTTGTAGATGATCACTTCCAGTGATCACGTGACAAGATATGGAACTGGATTATTTTTTCTACTTTCGAGTTAGGCTTCTTTTTAATAGAACTGTTCAGCCACAAAATCAGGCGCTCCATTTTTCAATGCTCCTGAATTTCAGGGCTAGTTATATGCTTCCCAGTAGCACTAGTGGTTAAGATCAGTTTGGTAGCACAGACTGACTCAGTTTTTCTGGTGCAAGCGTAATAGCTCACTTGAGAATTCTAATAATGGTTCACAATCATTTGTGGCACCTTAAGAGTTGCAGCTGTTGAATTTTATTCTTGACCCAGTGCTGTGACTATAGATATTCTGCTTACTTTCCTTCTTTTTTTTTTTTTTTTTCTTCATTTCTAAAAAGTCACTATTGTGTTACCAGCCTTCTGAGGGAATATTTGCAAAATGTTTTTCTTTTTAAGAGAGGAACACTATATCGTTTCTTAACAATATGTGATCCCCATAAATCCAGTTATGAGCCTTTTGATAGTTTTCTGATTCCTGAAATACAAATCAACGTGACATAGGTCTTATTTTACCTCGTGCTTCAAAATGATCATCTACGTGGTTAAATAATTTTTCTGGCTCTCCTGATGGAGAGGAAATACATATGGCTTTTCAGCTCCCTAGATCAGCTTGCAGAAGTAAAGCAAAAAGATTTCTGCTTCACTTAGGCTTGAAATGTTTGGAACAGTAGTATGATTCCTTGCATATTAGGAGCAGCCAAAAAATATGTTGCATTTTAATAATTTTGGATACGCTTCTAGATTATAAAACGTCTTCAGAAAGTTTGAGGGTGGTGTGCCCAGAATAGATTTCTTTTTCAGATATCCCATATGTGGTGAAGCTATGCCATCAACTGGAATCTACAGAGAAAGATACTGATGAAATTGATTGCTTTCATTAAGTTATTCAAATATGAAATTACAGTCAGTAATTCATAGTCATGTCTAAACAGTGTCAGTTTTGGACTTAATAAAACTGAGATCTATGCTGAGAAAAACATAATTATTGATAGCTGAATCTGAGCACCTCCAGTGACTTTACTGCAATCACTAGAAGGCATTAATTATGGGATCCCATGAGGCTCTTATCTCATCTAAAATAGACCATAAAATGGACTGTTTGCTACATCGAAATGATAAATATGGTTTAAAACATTGTAGCTCCTCCTGAATTCTCTGATATTTCTTGTGGTCTTATAAGCTGCTACTTAAAAAATATTAAATACATTTCCTTATCCTGTGGATCCACGCAAGAAATAAGACTGTATGTATGTACATTTAAAGTCATAAAGTAAATTTTAATAATGATATCTGACTTCAGGTGTTTAAAAATAATTCAGGTAAATTATAGGATAGGTGTGCCCAAAAACTTTGCTTTTGAAATTCATCTTTATTACATTTTTCATTTGTTTCATGTAAAACTTTTGCTTCTTAGCATGTTCCACCTTCCCTGTTCACGGAACCTAACGAGATCTCTCAGTATCTGCCTATAAAGGAGACAATTTGCGAAAAGCTAGAATTCCCAGAGAAGCTGGAGCTGGAACCACAAGCATCACTGGAAAGCACATGTGTGGAGTCTAAATAAATGTGACTTTATATGGACTTGAAGTAGACTGGAGATCATGTGATCATGTGACATTACTGTTGTGGGGGGTGGTTTCACTGTTCGTGGAATAAAGAGTTTGGCTAACTTTTCTGTAGCCCTAAATGAAAACAGAAGTTATTTCAAGCAGCTTTTGATGATTTTTTTTTTGTTCCATCTTTTTTTATTTCAAACTTATATCTGGAGTTAATGATAGACTGATGGTGAATTATAGTCTTAAATGGCAATGGAGAAAAGACTCACATGGTTAAACATTTGGGTTCTGTTTAGTTCAGTGGTTAGGTAGGAGTATTGCCTGGACCCTGCACCACAACCATTTCCAAGAAGGTTTTGTTGTTCTTGCTTCAGATACCAAGAGACTACTACAGTTCACAAAACTGGCATGATTTTATTTTTATAGAGAAATCTTCTATAGTAAAAAAAAAAAAAAAAATTGTTCCCTCTGCATATGTTTTGAGCTTTCAGTCCTAAACTATGCGTTTTGCTTGGCTTCCTCTACTGCAAGCTGATAACCCACTAAGTTACTTCTTGGTCTCTCTGATCTGGCCTTCTTGCTTAGAAATATTCATTTTATCTGATAATAGCTTGAAGGAGCAAGAATAATTGCATTTGTTTGACACTATATGAAGGTAAAAAATACTTTATTCATGAGCTATCAACTCCAGAGCAGGAAAAAAGCTGTCATATGTCAGCTATATTTCTCTAGGCAGCTCTGGAAACTGTTACTTGGGGTAGGTGAGCTGCTACGGTAGTGTGCTATCTCAGAAGTACGTTATTCTATATATCGATTTTCTGTTGGGCATATCAGCTAGTGCACATATATGATGGTTATGCTGCCCTGACAATCAAATTGTTAAATTCTGGGGTGGCTTATGGCTGGGGAAGCGAGGGGAGTTTTTAGTCTCTCATCCCTAAAGGATGCTGGTATTTACATTTGAGAAACTTGAGCTTATGTAGCTTTAAAGGAATGCTATCATGTATTCCAGATATGTAACTTTGATTTATCTTTTAAGTTTTAATAGCAATAGAAATGTGATCACATGCACATTTACAGTTTTAACTCAACATTTTGTGGATTAAACATCTACACACTTCAATTTCTTTTGGAAACTCTAAATGATGTTAATGGTTTGCCATAAGAATAAGGGAGCTAAACAGACTAGTCTCTAGGTTTACTGCTCACACTCTGTGTTAAGTGCAAGAAGCAAATGATGTTATAGTCACAAAATTAGCCTTGTGCAAAACCCTAACATAATTAAAATGATGAATAAGAATGTATGCATTTTGATCTTCTGGAGTTTTTTTCTTAAATTTCTAAATATTCTATACTGTGTAGCTTCATGCAAACAACCCACCCCAAACCTCAGTGTATAACCAGTTCTTCGGAGGAATGGTTTTCACTTACAGTAGACCCTGAAATTTTTAGGAAAAGTGTACTGCCATCTAACTGACGGTGATCTTAAAAACAAACCTGCCTTCTTTCACCTTGTCCTTGTTCTACACCTGCCTTGTTCTGTTTGAGGCACTCTGGTCTAATGAGTTGATCGTAAGATTGAAAAGCAGGAACTAACTGCAGTCCTTATTGATTTACAGGGGGAAGTCGCTTAACTTCTGTGCCTTGGTTTCCCGTCTGTAAAAATGGGACTAACACATGCCAAGCTTACTGAAGGTTTGTGAGGATTAGTTTGTAAAATGTTTTTTTCTTTCTCCCTGAATCCACCTTCAGCCTTATCTTTGGAAAGGATTATTGCAAAAAAAGCTTATAATCTATAGGATAAAGTGAGTGAAGTGAAATTAAAATCTCTGAAAGAAATGATTATCAGGCAGACGTGACTTGGAGTGAGTGAATTTAGGGCCATTTTGAAGTGGGGGGTGAGATCCTGTATGTTCCCCTTTTCTGAGTCCTGGATTTTATTTTTTTCCACCTTCCTGAACTTGTTTCCTAATGAAGACTTCAGCATGAAGATGAAGAAGGGTGAGCGTACTTGGCTGCAAATGAATGCACCATGAACGTGATCAACGTTAATTTCACAATAGGGATAATTTAGGTCTCTATGTGGAAGAGGAATGTGGGGGAGAATAAAAAGGAAGGAAACAACAAGTGGGGGAGAAGGCATATTTTGCCTGTGAAAGTAAACCATGGCGCTTTTTTATTATATATAAGTGTATACTATTTTACATGCCTTGGAGGCTTATAAGAACACACTTTCAATTCAATGCTGGTAGTGACTGAGATGGGAGCTGGCATAGTGCTGGCAAGAAGGAAATTATATCTGCATTTCTTAATTAAAACTGTGTTTCAGGTTTGGTGAGTGATGTTGGTAATTAAGCTTTATGGGGGGCTGCAGTGGGGGAAAACCCACAGAATCGACACCTAGTGGTCAGAAGGGTGCCGTGCATGTTTAGCTTCTATTGTGTATTTGATGCTGTCCCATCATCATACTTAACTGGTTTGTGACCTGCTGATACAGTTGTCTTGACTGGACTTAAATCTCTGAATATATAGATAAGTGATATCTATCTATTTTGGGTGCTGTGCATTTAAGTGGAACACACATGTTGGAGAAATCACAAGATTATGCTCAGAAAATTAAACGTGGAACACTTCTTGTGACTCTGTTACAACACAGAGGTTATCAAGAAGCAGTAAAATAAACTGCTGAACGGCAAGCTCTCGTGCAGATTCTCCAGAGAAAATCACATAGATGTATAATTCTGGGGGGAGGGAGTGGGGTAATTCTCCAGCTGTTCTGTGGCGAGTTTAACATGTGGCGGTTTATATTCTTACTTGTATGTTGCTCAATAAAATTTACCCAACGTTTTATAGTTCTGTTTTTATCTGAGCAAAATAAAAATGAAATAACTACTTGTGCTGCTGAACTTTGCCTGATAATCGACATGTCGCATCCCTGCATCTTTGACAGCCTTTCATCAGAACCGCTCAGCCTGGGGAGGAAAGTAAGGTGGAGGCTTTTCCACAGCAGCGGGAGACCCACGCTACGGAAGGAAAATAAAATTCAGGGGACTGGTGATGTAAGCTTCACTATTAGCAAATAACCGATTCAAGCCTGGTGGGAGGAGAGAAGATATAACTAGAGAAGTAAAATCGGCAGAGCGCGGACTCTCTCTTCTGAAGTCTGGAAAAGAGGGCATTTTCCCTTTCGGCTATTTGTATGCTTGTAACTTGTAATCGTTCCTGAGGAGTTAGAAGCATCTGCCTGGTACAGAGAGCAGGAGTGTCTACTAGTGCTTAAAAAAACCACAAAAACCAAAACTCGGGAAGCGACAAGGAACGCAAATTCTCTGCTGTGAGAACCAGGACTTGCTTCTGAGTTGATCTCTCTGGATCTCGCTGATTTTGAAGGGTTTTTTTTTTTTTTTTTAATACCGAAGCTCCCCCA